CCTACCTTCATTTGTAGGAAAAAGGCAGGATTTTCGACGCTGTTTTGTGCCTTCTTTTCTAGTGGGAACAGGACCATCTAAAAATAAGCAATGAACAAAATGAATGGTTAAATGGTGTCAGGTACTAATTGTAATGTTTTTGTCGCCAATTTTTTAACTGGGCATGACATACCATAACGATTTCCATCCTTCGGTGGAAGCCTAAAAAGAGAAGGATATGACACGGTTAGGGAGGCTTCAATGTGACTTACTAAAAAATATTACTAAAAAGGGTCAACAGTTCCAAAAATGCGCGAGATTGATAGTTTCTACTCGAAAACATAGTCAACACTTCTCGAGCTAGAACAATTGGTGAACATCCATGAGGCGAGTACCCTTATTCGTTAGACTGATTTTGGTAGACATTTTTGGAGAAACAATCCTTTTGGATATTCTTAAGACGTAACCTACATACCTTATGCCCAAATTTCCTAATTATATGACAAGATACACGAACAGACGACAAGTCACTCTCAACTAGTTCTCTAATTACAGTTTTGGGTGGAAAATCAATATTAAATGTGACCAGTCTAGGCTCTACAGGCCCAATTTGGAAAATACTAAGGTTAACCCGGCGGTCGCTGATCTCGATCTTGTAAACTATAAATTCTCACGACCTTTTTTTTCTATGGAAAGTCTCCTTAATTAATCAAGCTTTATATATTCTATAAAAAATAAGGATAGACCAATAACGCAGAGAAGACAGTGCGAAGTTCAACAGTCAAATGACTAGACAGACCCCCAAACACTGCAGATATGGTACATATTTCTGAAGAAAGAACACTGTTCAATGCAGCATTCGCGCTACATCCAAATTAGCCGCTAATACAACGATGGGCCGGCAACATCCATCAATTAAAATAGCATTTTTGAGATAAGAAGCGCGCACGCATGCTTACCGCGGTGAGTAAACAATGTTGTTAGAAGATCCCGCCTTCGAGCAAGCGCTGGGTGATTTTGAAGTGACCACATCGTCAGTCGACTCAAGCAGCAGGCGCAACATGCTTTGGTACTTCTCTTCCTCTTCCGTAGACCAGGAGGGCTCGCTGAGTTCTTTTGGTTGTTCAATAACTAACGAACTCGGTCGAGGGGAAGGACTTGTAAAACAAATGCCATCAACGGTGCCAACAGAAATGATGTTGGAAGAGACATCGCTCGTTTGGAGAAGCCCTCGAGAAGAGTCGTGAGTAATACGATTGAGGATTTCAGGATCACTTTTAGCACCGGCATTACTGTCCAATAATGCAAAAGAACCCGTGCTCGAGCGATTACTTGGCAGTGTCAGATTACACATTCCGATTCCAGATGACCTCAACATTGCTTCTGGCGTATTCTGGGAGAGATTAAGGCCGGGCAGCTGACTAGTGCCATCATTTCTACTAAAAGTACCATTCCCGATTACGGCACCTGAGTCAGTAATTGCATTGCATGGAAGTTGACGGATGACCGATCTTTCACGATTGAAGTTCACACTCCAAGGATTTCTTTTAACAGCACCTAATAGATTCTGACGCTCCCTTGGCTCGACTGCCCAGTAAGCCCCACGGCCAGGGCCCTGAAATGTGTAGTA